TGCTTCAAATCTCAAAAGCTCATTAAAAAAACTCTACTTGCAGATAATATAATATTAATGACGTAAATAGCCACTTAAGTGTACTTCAAATATACTTTCATGAATGTTTCTTAACACACTTTAGTACTTTTTTCTTCTGTAGTGTGCTGTTATTACATTTAAAGTTAATATATAAACGCACTAAAATGCAACTTCTTTATTACAAATGCATAATTACGAATATATGTATATACACAACACACAAGGTTAATTAGAAATTACATTAAAGCATATTTTAGTTTACCATAAATGCTTGTCAGTACATATGGCATATTTCATTTGATCATTTTATCATATAATTTTAAACTATAACAGGTATTCATTTAATTGCAATTAACATTCAGTTAAGTGTCCGAATACTTTACATTCAGTTTCCACTTTCAGTACATTCTTTTAAAGTGTATTTATAATTATTTTTATAATTATGCAAAAGTGCTTTTGCCTAAAAAAGCAGTTTTCTTTTAACATGTAGTGACATGCTGAGATCACAAAACCAGCCAACCCACTTTATTTTGTCAAATCCAATTGATAACTTAAGCTATTGTGCATCCACACCACTAGATGTCAGTATAAGTCTATATACTCTGTGCAAAATAAACAAACAATGACTGAGTGCATCATACATAAAATTATTTACAGCTCACCAGACAGATACAGAGTATGCGTGCATGAGCATTTGTTTACCAGCTCATTTGGTGAATGCAGCAAACCAGGATGTAACAACACCCTTATCTCTCCAGCTCTACTGGCTGGAAACAATTAAAGGAGAACCCTCATTCACAGTACAAGATGAGCTAACAACCAAAGCATGTGGATACAGAGCAAGGCAAAACAATAACCTTGCAGCATTTGTACAAGGAAAAACACCAAAACTGGCATTGGATATTTGACGATACTTCAACACCAGCTCTGCATCTCCTTTCGGTCAATGACCTGCACTATGTACAAGGGGAAAAAATCCTCTCAGCAGATACTGATCTCCAAACCTCCCATGCTGCTCAAAGCCATAATACACAGCATCATGTCAGGAGGGACGATGAGTTTTCCTAAAGAGGTATATCAGATCATGGCTGAAGAGGGACGGAGCGGCTCGGAATCTCTAAAACAAATATAATTACCATAATTTTAAAAAAGAGTTTTAAAGTCACTATCAAAAATAAATAAATATAATAATTTATTTAAAAATGAATTATTTTAAAATCATCTAAACATTTTTATGTATTTTTAATAGAAGAATGTAGATGGTGCAGGGAATTATAGAAGAAGAAGAAGAAGAAGAAGAAGAAGAAGAAGAAGAAGAAATTATTAATAGTAATGAAGCTTAAAAATGTATTTTTTAAAAATAAGATTTTAGATGTATAATTACCATAATTTTAAAAAAGAGTTTTAAAGTCACTATCAAAAATAAATAAATATAATAATTTATTTAAAAATGAATTATTTTAAAATCATCTAAACATTTTTATGTATTTTTAATAGAAGAATGTAGATGGTGCAGGGAATTATAGAAGAAGAAGAAGAAGAAGAAATTATTAATAGTAATGAAGCTTAAAAATGTATTTTTTTAAAATAAGATTTTAGATGGTGCACAGAATTAGGTTTATATAATAACAAAAATAAAAAATATAATAATTTTTAAAAATCTTCTAAAATTTTTTTTAAATATAACAAATTTAGATGATGCAAGGAATTATATACGATGAAGAAGAAACTCTTAAGAGTAATGAAGCTTATATATATATATATATATATATATATATATATATATATATATATATACTTTTTTAATAAATCTGCAAAAATGTCAACAATTCTGTGTTTTTCTGTCAATATGGGGTGCTGTGTGTACATTAATGAGGAAAAAAAATTAACTTAAATGATTTTAGCAAATGGCTGCAATATAACAAAGAGTGAAAAATTTAAGGGGGTCTGAATACTTTCCGTACCCACTGTATATATATATTTACATTACATTTAGTCATTTAGCAGACGCTTTAACCCAAAGCGACTTACAAATGAGGACAATGGAAGCAATCAAAATCAACAAAAAAGCAATGATATGCAAGTGCCATAACAAGTCTCAATTAGCTTAACGCAGTACACGTAGCAAGGTTTTTTTTTTATTATATAATAAATAAAAAGAAAATCGATAGAATAGAGAAAGAATAGA